TGGAAATCGAAGTTTCCTTTCTTGTTTAAATGTGAAAACATTTACTCTTTGGGAATACATAGTCCCGATATACTCTTTTGAAGAAATGACTTTAATCTTTACTCTATACTCAACTCAAAACTTAAGTCTTAAAACAAAGTTAAAACATTTGTAAAAGACTTTTGAAACACTCTATGAACTTCTCTTGACTTGACTCTTAACTTTTCTTGAATTGAATTATGGATTCAAGGATCGTGATTTGTGATAGGAAAGATCTCATGATGTTTAGGAGTGATTTTAGATAGCTAAACATGAGAAATAATCAAGAAATCACTGTCTTGGAGCAAGTCCGTGATGCGGAGATGAATTAAAATGTTTGGTCGAAAATTTTCACCCTGAAGGAACAGGTCCGCGACGTGGACCTGGTACCTGTTCCTTGTCCGACTTTTTCCTTCTTCATTTTCCATCCCCAATTCACCTAAATTCGATTATTTTTCTCAATATCTCTTTAGATTCAGGTACCCACAACATATACACAAGAATCTAACTCAAGCAACTCTAATAATCGACTCTATAATCTCAAGAAACTCTTCAATCTCATCCCAATTCAAGAACGAAAGCAAATTCAAGAATACAACTCAAGAACATCAAATTCTCAATATTTTTAAGACGAAATTACACTGAATAAAACATGTTTTGCGTGTGGGTGAACGAACCCAACACTGTGTGAACTCACATACCTCGTAGGGATCACCCCTTGACGAAATCCACAAGCGATTCTTGAAGATCTTGACGATTCTTGCTCCTTCTCCTCTTCTTTTTCTCATCTCTAAAACCCTAACTCAATATGGTAAAAGTGTAAACTGAATCCTATCAGTTTAGACCCCAATTAATTACCAAAAAACGAAATTAAGTCATGGGGTATGCTAAAAACCATAATGCCCTTCAAAAACTCGGATTAGACTTTCCTTAATTGAACAACCCAACTTCCAATGGGCATATCTCACTCATACAAACTCGGAATCGCGTAAACTTGGCGGCGTAGGAAAGATTATTCTAAGATATTTCCTACAATATCTGGAAACACACCTAAATCATCCTGAGCTAGGAGTTATGGTCGTTTGAAGTTGACCAAAACTCAACTTAACATACTTAACAAATTTTCCAGATTTTTCTATTCTTTCCAAAAATGACTATTTCCAATTTATAACTTCTTCCTAGTTCTTTCAATTAGCGAGATGTTACAAGCACACATTGATTGCATGTAATTTTTTGACCAAATTTTTTTTGTGGGTGTTTGTTATGATTTAATAAATTATGTGTGTTAGTTCGAATGGGTAATTATAGGTATTTATAAGTTCAAATGAGGTATGGACC